ATGCCCAATGCTTAAATTATATACCTTATTTTGATATGAGATTTAGTGTGTGGATATATGACTATAGTATGAGATATAATCATTAATATTATTTGAGAAAAGAATTATTTCACTGTGATATGCATAGTTTGATGAAACATGAAGTTTAAATATGTGTTATAATTATGACCATGTGTATGTTGGTATTGTTTTGTTGTTTTTGCAAACACATGTGACACCTTTTTGATGTTATGCATGTTATCTTACTCTTATTATATTTTAAATTTTTTGAGGTTAGAAAGGGGTGTTACACCAAGCACGTACAACTTTCTCTTTCACCTGATCAAGGATAGTAGACTCAATGTATTTCAAGAAATCGGGATACTCAACACACAAGTTTCTGAAATGTACCACATTCTCAATATACAACTCTTTGATAGTATAATTAAGAATATTAGTCCATGCACCCATTATCTTCTTAACCACAACACCTAATTTGATCATGTTTCCATCTACACCCTTTTTTTCTTTGGTACCAATTACGGGTTTTAGCCGTGCTCTCAGATTTTTTGTTATATGAAATCGACAAAGTAATGCGGTTTACGAAGGAAACACAGTCTCAACTACATTCATAAGTGCGTTATCCCGGTCGGTAATAATGACCTTAGGCATTTTTTGTGGATCCTTCAACAAAGTGTTGCATATACCCAACACCCAAGTGACGTTGTCTTCTTTCTCACATTCCAAAAAACCAAATTCAACCGAAAATATCTTGTCCGTAGATGTAACTCCGGCAATTTCTAGAAGTGGAAACCTATACTTGTTAGTCTTGTACGTTGAATAAACCATAAGGACGGTTGGAAATGTGTTAAATAACTTGATACTTTCTGGATGAGTCCAAAAAATATCACGAATACTAATGTTGTCCTTGCAAACTCTGTACCTGGAAATGTAGTGGTTATCGTCTAAATATTTCAATTAATGTTGCATTTTGGACCTCGGACCCCTTTGTGCAATGTGTTGTTTATAACGATGATTGTAAACCGACTTGATATTTGAGACACATTCCAGTTTATTCTGTTTCACATCGGCAAATATGTTTTTCGGTGCAACTTTGATCAACGATAATTCGCAAATAAATTCCTTCTCTACCGTCTTAAGCCGACATACAATTGGATTTCTGTGTAGCTTGGTGTCCAATGCATGATTATACATATCGGACATGGCATTTGTAATACCCCAATTTAATTAGAATTGTTTTTAATTAAATAATTAGATGATGCGATGTATTTATATGAATTGGTGGATTTTATGATGTGATGTGATGCATTTGTTAGTAATTAGATGTCTTAGGAATTATATAAGTTGATGTGATAGGGGTGTATGGCTAAAAATGTAGAAACATAAGAGTTAGATCGTAGAAAGAAGAGAAAGAGAAACCTAGAAGTGAGAAGATGAGAAAATACTAGGAAACTAGGGCAGGAAGATTCACCGTAGGAATCAAGAACCGCGATAATCAAAAGATAAGGGGGGACTCTAACACTATAATGGGTTGCTTAATGATGGGGCATGGTAGAATTTAGGTTGCATGGTTGTTTGTTTTGATTTTCCCTAATTGGTGTTCTTGGGGTTTTTCTTCCATTATTTAGCTTTGATGCATTTTTGTATGATTGATTATGAAATTGATGATATATTTTGGTTAGAATCGATAGGAAGGTGTTCGTGAATAATTAGCATAATTGAAAGATAATTTTTTATGAGAAAATCTGGAAATTTTGGTGTTAAAATGTTAAAAATTGCATTTGAAAAAGTTGCAGATTTTTCTGTTCTGCAACAGTGATAATCAGTTACTGGTCTGCTGGTAACCGACTACCACATAAAATTTGAAGAAAAGAGGTTACTGTGTTACGCAGTAACCGGTTACCATAATGAACTAATCGGTTACCGCTGGCAGATTTTTGAAAAACAGAGCTACTGGCTTGTGCAGTAACCGGTTACCGTAATGCAGTAATCGGTTACCACTATTAGACAAAATTTTATAAAATTGTAAATTGCATAACTTTCACATTGGCTGTTCGTTTGACGTGCCGTTTGGACCGTTGAAAAGCTAAAATCAATTTCTATCCTATAGAAATAAATTGAAATACAATAGTTAATTATTTTACCAACATTGGTGCCTATCTGTGTATATTCATGAGTAATGTGTGACGATTTATATTGTGATTAAGTAAGATGATGTTGTATGAATGGTTTGATTGTTTGCATAATGTATTGCATGATGATGATGATGATGATGATGATGATGATGATGATGATGACCTGTATTGGCATGGCATTGATAGGTAAGAATAATCAGTGTGAAATTATATTGTTGCATTTTGATTGTGTGACATGATATGCATGATAATGATGATCATGGTGATGATGACCTGTATTGGTATGGTATTGATAGATAAGAATAATCAATGTGAAATTATGTTGTTACATGTCAGTGTCGAATGTTGGTAAAAGATGGCCTGTATTGGCGAAAGATGTCCTGTATTGACGTTGTTGCCCCAAGTTGTCATTTATTAAGTTAAGGGTTTTGCCCTATTGGTACCACATGCATTGAGTCAGTGTCAGTTTCATTGCGTTGCATGATTGTTAGTAATTAATTATTTAAGCGTTGAATGAATTTCTACTTTCTTATGATGAATGTTTTGTGTTGTTTATGCACTTAATTATGTTGATGTGTTTCGTAGTATGATGAATAAGAAAAGGAGTGAGGTAAATATGTATAATGATGTGTAGTTGAATTTCTACCTACTCATTATTATGCTTCCTCTTATATTGTTATGATATCTCACCCTTTCTGTTTTAATGTTTCCTTTACGTGGATAACGTGCAGATGATTCGAAGTAGCTCAAGGCCGAGGTTAGCCGAAGAATTACTTCAGTTGCGTAGATTGAGTTGGTATCTGCTCTGATACGTAACACTTGGGGGTTTTGTGTTTGTCTTATTATGTTGGGAGTAAACTTTGTATAATTCCGTTGTTTTAAATTTACCTTATGAATATGCTGATTTTTGGATGATGAAAAATACCACTCATGTTGAGGGTTGAGAATAATTATTTATTGATGTTTTCCGCTGCGAATAAATGCAAGGAAGTTAAGACTTTAAAGTTTATGATTTTGTGTTACATATCCTGTTTACTCTGATATTTGTTTAAAATTACCGACGGGGAAATAGGATGTTACAACATTATACCGCCATAAATCATCCACCCTACAATAACAGTGCAATTTAAATGGACACTCACATGTCATCATATTTTATCTTCTGAATTTTTGGAACATATTTTCCACTTCGCTCGCATGTCATCACAATAAATAGTTTCCTTTTACTAGTCTCATTGTCGAACTTTTCAATCACAACGCAGAACCCAAGTTTGCTAGCTTCCATTCGAATCCATTCAATCATTTGTTGACGAGTAGTGAAACTTTTATCGATTTGAAATTGTTGTGCATAATTGATCGCAACATCCTTCGTTTTATCAACGTCCTTCACCTCAATCGACTTATCATCTTCATTGACCTTGTCTGGAACCTTTACGAGAACTTTGACAATATTATCGGGGTGCACCATACCTAACATGTTAAAAAAACATGAACTCTGTTAAAATATAATTCTGATTTTGAAACAGACACTTTTTCGGATATGCACTTTTGAATTATGGTAGGTTGAATTCGGAAGTGCATATCTGAAGCGGCATTGTTTTCATCTTCAACAAATCAGCCTCAATGCAGGAAATGTGTAATCAAATAACATAAGTTCATCTCAAATTGAAGCTTTCAATACTCTCTTTGCTATACTCAAACACTTGAAATTTGATTTAGAGACGAAAAATCCATTGAAAATGATTGAAGGTTTGTTTATAAAGGTTTTGTTTATGGAGGAATGTAAAATGAATGAAATAGTTGGAATAGGTGACCATGTAACATTTTGATATGGAAAAGGTAGTTTCAGAGATACATATCCGAAATAACCTATTAGCATGTTTTGCATGTGCAACTCTGAAACTACCTCAAAAAATTCAAATCCAACGTTTAAGTTATAAAACGTGGAAAAAGAATGTCTTCGGATGTGCACTTCTGAAATATATTAATAATACGTTCGAAACTGTATCTCCAAAGAATATTTTCAAATTTTCAATATTAATTTTCACCACCACTAAATCTAAAGAGAAACTCAGTTAGTTTTCTTTACACCAGAGAATAGTAACGTATATAGCCCCATCTAACACATAATTCAATTAACACGTGATTGATTTGGAATGTATTAATATTTTTTCTTCACTTTTTTAATAATGTTAGTTGTTAATTTTAGACTGAATGATATAGATTACATATAATACATTGAAGACGATCTCAACCGTTGTTTTGAGATGTAAAATTGTCGCACAGTGAATGCGAAAAATTTAATTTGCCTCACACTAAGAAGAATCGCCACTTCATATAAGGCAAAATTGAATTTTGTATCCATGTGGAGACATGAAGTCACATGCTAGCATTTGACAGCACTTTCAGTATCAATCAAAGTATAGTTTGGAAAGTTCGGTCAAAAAAGTACTCTTAGATTTGAACCCCATCTTCATTTTTATTTATACATGTGCAATAAGACAAAAAGTAGATGGATATATAACATGACATGTGATAGGAAAAAAGCCATATGAATTGTTAAAATGCCAAAATTTAGGGAAATTTGATGATTACAATTTCAATGTTGCATGCCAAACTAATAAATTTCAATTCAAAACAATCAAATTATCTTTGGAATCATGAGCGAAGTAAATGCAAAATTTTAAGTTGGCAATCCTGACATGCTAAATGATGATTAACATAACACACATTACAACCGCATGTCTGTTTAACTGTTTAACTGTTTAACTGTTAACAAGACAAACTACTTAGTATTATAGAATAAACAAACATTTTATAACTAAATTGGAACTAATTCCTATGATTACAATATGGTGGTCTATATCAGAAGATCATGCTTCCTACCAATATGGAAGTGAGGGGAACTGTGAGATTGTCATCAAGATCTGTGCTGATCGGAAGAGATTCCACTATTGCCGTGATAACAGACACAACGAAGAAACCTATAACCTTGTTCCAGCTTCCTTCCATGTATCCAAACGACGTAAAATACCACATATACCTGACAAACCACTAACTGTTAATAAGGAAATAGATTACTGGTATGTTTGGTTTCAATTTTATTCAGTGTTGTTATGGCGGATAGTAGAATATGGCGGAAGGACAAAGATCTGCCATATAAACACACCACTGCGACCTATGACATACACATAGTAGGCTATCACGTGGAAGGGAAATTTGAAAGAAAGTAATACAGGTCCACAAATATTTACCCAATAGAAGCCAAGAATCCAGCAGATGCCATTGCAATTGAACCAGCATAGGACTTGTATTTATTGTAAGGTAACTTTTTACTACCAATTCTCCTTCCGACAACGTCAGCCATACCTGAAATATTAAATTAACAAAAACCATAAAATCATGTCTGTCTAGGGAATCACCACAAGATAAGGCTTTTGCACTTAACCGTTTATGTATTTTCATCCAACAGCTAAAGATTTTGGAATATTTAACTTACGCCGTGGCTAAAAAAAGTGTAAAACATTGCCTAATTGCAGTAAATGGGACTAAAAGTAATTGGTTGAGAAGCATTATTACCATCTCCTGCACAGAGATTACAAATTGCAGCAATGGAAACTGGCGAAGTTCTCCAGTATATTATGCATGCGAAAGTAATAGTTGCAGCATAATACAGTGGTCCTCTACGAAGTTCCCTGGTGCAGAGGAAAATGTGAGACCAAGTGAAGAATTAATGTCAAGACATGTAATCGATTATCAGTCAATAGCAAGAATTAATACTATTATAGTTACATCACATGTTCAAATATTCTCACTGGCACTAATGTATTCATTTTTGCAACCTATAATCTCCAAATCTGCTCATTGATTTCACAGTGGCCTCATCTTTCCATATTCCAAGTCCAATAGCTAGCATCCGAAGTATATTGACTCCCGGAATAAAAGCCGCAAAGAAAGGTCCCCATTCACCAGTACTGCAATAATACAAGAAAGGGTCGGTGATTCAACAAAAAGACATCGTAACAGAACTTTGAAAGACTCGTAAATTCATAAACTATACAATTACCCGAATAATGGCCAACAGAGCATGAATACCAGCCCAATAGATATGTGCACAAGTTTCCTATTCAATTTCTAAACACAAAAAAAGCTAATGAGCATTCTGCATAGGTAGAAAAACAGAAAATCGGTAACTATATAATTGTAATATACAATAAAAAAGCAGAAAATAAATCCTTGTTAAGATGAGCTTCTAGCTTATGAAATCTTCTCATAAGATATAACTATACAAGCTTGTGGAGAGAAATCAGATAAAGGAAATTATAAAAAAGTAAACTAAAACTCAATATCACGACACCTCTGAAAAAAACGTGTCAGTATCCCTGTCAAACACTGACATTCATTTTTTTTAAATTATTACTAGTGTTGTCATGTCAGTGTACGTTCCAACTTATGCAGGAAGCTATTATTTAGAAGACTCAGTTTTTCTTTTCCTATAAGTGCTTAATGAAAAGTTTATCTAAACTAAGTGCTAAATGACATAACCTAATCAAAACAAATTTCACTTATCAATTCCATCAAACCTCGATCAAAGAAAACTCCACATTCATTAAAATTTTCCTTCAACTCATAACCCCATAAAAAAACACAATCTTTCACAATTCACCTCCATGCTCAGCTAAATCAAAACAACCCCACTTAACAAAAACTCCAAAAATCAAACTATCAAAACTCACCTGATCAAAAAGTCCACGTTTTGCAGTTTCTTGCCACAACCTAAGAAACGAGGTAGCAACAACACCAGAGATAGCCGTTGCAATGAAATCAGAGACAATAGGGTCATGGTGGAGCATGGTGGAAGAAGGAAGTTTCCGGCGAGAGGGAGACTGTAGTGGAGTGGAAGAAAACAAGGAAGTGAGAGGGGAAATGGGTTTGAGATTGGGGAGAAAAAAAGGAGAAGAATGGGAAATGGGTGGGAAGTGTGTGAGGTGAAGAGGGAGAGAAGAAAGACGGGTAGTTGGGTGAAGTGTGAGAGTATTAATCATGTTTGAATTGGAAGAAATTGCAAAGAAGATAACTAACTACCCCATTTCACCGCTCACTATTTTGTCAACTTTTGATCCTTGATTATTACAATGAAATGAAAAGGTTATTTTGTTTGTTTTGTGTTATTAGTTGTTACTATTAAGACTTCATACTTTCTCTTCCCCATAAGTTGTAAATTATAAATCACTTTTTAAGATTAATATATATATTTCTACTTTTTATTATTCTTCATCTTTTAATTATTTTAATTTCTCTTTTCTATTTTTTTAAATAATCTAATAGTTGAAATTCACCTCTTAAAAGATAAATAAATAGGATATCGTGAGTTCGAATCTGCACTCTTACATATGATTACATACAATATTAAATTATTATTGTTTTTTAGTTTGTGTGAAATGTAACATCTTGAGGCGATATCGTATATGTTGTATGACTAACAAGTCCTCACGTTGAGAACCTCTCTTCTATCTCTTCCATCATTTGAGAAGCAAATATAGCACACCACCCTCCACTCAATCCAACCATTTCTCTTAAAATGTAACAACAATATGAGATGATGTGATTGTCACTATTTGCCACTCGCACCACCTTATATCTAGTTTTTTAATGGTTGAGTTATCTAGTTTTTTAATGGTTGAGTTGTCGTTGGTTTTTTGCAGTAGCTCTAGTGTGTTGAAAAAGTGAATTCAAATACAAGAGGGATACAATTTATGTTATTTAAAATTAGAAATTACTCTTATATTTTTCTAGATTAAGATCGTGTTAGTAGTTTTAAAAAAAAATGAATAGCAGCAGAAATAAAACAGTAAAGTAAATAACATAAATTAAAAGGATAAGGTTAGAGAGATTGCACCAGAGATTTATATAGGTTTTACCGAACATTAACCTAGTCCTGTCCCTAAGAGTTCAACTATAAATTTTGAGCTTTTGAAGGTTATGCCTACGGACTTTTATACAAGTTGAACTTGAGATCATCACAGACTTATCTCCAACCAAATATGGCTTTTACCATGGATTAAGCTCACAAACCTCCTTAGAGATTTTCAGGCTAATCTCAATAACCAATAATAGAACTTATTTAGGCAAAACTCAATAAACCAAAACAAAGATTTTATGACTTGTTTATCTCACGAACTAAACTCGATCTTCTCAAGAGAATCACACTCTTAAGAAATAAACAAACAACACGATCACTTACAAAATCTTTCTCACAAGCAGTATTTCTCTCTAAAGCATTATGATAACTTTAAGTGAAAGAAAAAAATGTTTCTAGAGAGAAAAAGAGACATAAATTCCAAAGAAAGTGTAAATCTTTGGAAATTGGTGTGAAATGAAGAGGCGACGAGCCTTTTTTATATAAGAGTTGAAAAAAAATCAGAAAATAAAATAATCCATGGACCGAATTGATGTGCCAATCAATTGGCCATGTCATTTTAAATTGATTACCATGCCTAAAAAGAAAATATTGAATATCGAATCGTTAAAATTTATTAAGGTGTAATCCTAATCGTTTAGTTAATCATTTATCCCTTCTTCAATTGATTAACTTAATGCTCCAATCGGTTGTCTAACTAAGAAAAGTTATGCCAATCGATTAGTTAGTTCAAAAATTATTTAGAAAGAGATTGAACAACTTCTTAATCACTTGGCTTGGCTTAGACAATAAGTTTCAAGATAAAAACGTTTGAAAAAGGATATTCTAAAGTGTGTGTGTGAGTTTCCTTAATACTTCAAAGTTACTTTCTTACTTTTATAAAACTCGGGTCACTCAGACAGATATACAAACGTAACCTAGTGAGCTTTCACATTTTATCTAAGGCTTCAAGATTCTTTGATGAATTGCTCAAAATCATATAAGCACTTTAATCTCGAGCCACTTTTTATTGATGAGACATGAGATGTTTCTCTATTTAGGTCACCATCATCAAGGTTGAAAGCTATTTCCCCTGACGTTGATCATCGTTGTTGTCATCAAAACTTCAAAAGGATCTTCTACATGATTTTCACCTTTATACTTGCAAGCACATAGATCCGTATTCTCCCCCTTTTTAATGATGATAACACATATCTCAGGAATGTGGTAAAAGAAACAAAATATATATGTTTGGATTTAGAGTATCCAACTAAATCACAATCCGCTCCCTTGGGGGTAGCATAAACTCATTTGTTGTTAGCCAAAGAGGTGTCTCATGATGCATTTTACATTGCTGAGATGTGATTCCTTAGGGGAAGTTTAAAAGCATGCACACATACATACAACAAATATTATATCAAGACAAGATGTACTTAGATAAAGAAAGAGAACCTATCGTACCTCGACACTTTATTTCTTCAACTAATTTTCCATCTTTGTCTTTGTCAAGGTGGCATGAGGTTGACATTGGGGTTGCTATTACTTTGGACTTTTCCATATCAAATCTTTTTAGTAACTCTGTACAATATTTAGCTTAATTTATGAATATTCCCTTTTTAGTTCGATGGATTGGGAGTTATAGAAAGTACTTTAGATCTCCCATCATGGACATTTTGAACTCGTTCTGCATATTTTAAGAGAATTCATTTCACAAGGATTCGTTGGTAACTCTTACAGTATTTATCTTGATTTATGAATTTATTCTTTCATGTTAATTTTATAACTTCACAACAAGTATGGCTTTATTTCTTTAAACAATGCCATCTTCATCTAGTTGTTACGAAAGACCCTCCAGGTACCAATTACTAGATTAGCTGAAGCTTTAGGAACAAGTTCCCAAATGTTGTTTCGTTCAAATTGATTTAACTCCTCTTGCATGGAAAGAGACCAATTTTCATCAACTATAGCTTCATCGATTCCCGTTGGTACAATTTACGAAACAAACGCCACAAAGTTAAATTTCTTATTAAGGTATCATCGAGTATTGACTCCCTTGGATATATCTCCAATCACATTATATATAGGAGGGTATTTTGTTGGTCTGCGTTCCACTGGGAGATCTATATGTTCTAGCAGAGTGTTGAAGCGGTAAGCAAAAGTAAGTATTTTTATAGGTTATATCATATTGTCTCCACAAGGATTAGTGCTACTAAATTGTCATTTGAAAATTTCTCGCGTTTATGAGTTTGGGTTAAAACGAGTTTAAAGTGCAAGGTGAGGGAATTAAACATACGAATAGGAAATAAATACATTCTTCGGAAATGAGAGAACTATCGGGATTGAGTTTTCTATACCCGTCAAATACTTAAACTTACTACCCAATTGCACTTAACCTAAATTACTCGTCGATATCATCATGTATCACTCACACAGAGGTTATCTCTAACACAAAGTGAGATATTAACTGTATTGCTCTGCATCAGCGATCTCTCAGCATAACACAAAATAACACTGAGAAATTAAGAGTCGATACGTAAGTGATCATTAAGCCTAAATCTATCTCTAGAGTTTAGAACCTAATGGATATTTATCCTAAGTCCTGATTCAAATAGTATATGTCTATAGAAACTCAAACCCAAACACTTAGCAAGCTAAAAATGATAAACAACAATAAATATTTATAAAGAAAGCTTCATACAACACCATGAGTAATAAATATACATACAAGACAAAGCATATTTACAGACAAAACCCCAACAAATGGAAAATACATAAAGAAGAGAAAAGATCAACCGGAATCTCTCGGGTAGTCAACACCGGTTGAAGCAAATCCACCTCCTAAACATCAAGATGCATGACCCATTATTATTTTTGAGCTAAATCTCTTAAAAGAATGTTTGGTGACAGAGTGGGAGCAAAAAGTACCCAACCATACCCTAAAAGAATATGTTTTTGACCTAAATAAGAGTTTCTACCCAGCACGTACCGCCCGATGCTCAAAATAGCACTTTTAGTGCATTTTCACGTTTTTGGAGCACCTCTGCACTGTCCGGCGCTCACGGGGCGCTGCCTACAGTAAGTTGAAAACACCAACACTGTTTCGACTATAACTTGAGAACTGTAACTCCCATTTGCGCATGGTCGGAAGCGTTGAAAAGCTTATTCAGTGATCTATCTAACAATGTCTAAATATTTATGCTCGAATACCTACAAAATCGAGATACAAACAATTAAACTCAATTATATTTACACGATAATGCAATATATACACTATAACATAAAATATATCGAATATATACTAAAGTTGAGGTTTAGTGACAAAAAGCAAACGAATTAGGCCGATGAATGCTAATTATTCACACTCAAGTTCATGACAATTTAGCACTCATCAAACTCTCCCCAACTTATGACATTGTTTGTCCTCAAACAAAATCAAACAACCTAAAGAAACAAAAGATGATAATCCAAGAATCACGAATCATCAGGTTTTGAAAACAGAAAACAAATGTATGGTTCAAATTAAAAATGCACTACGACAAGATGAAAATGAAACAACTCCTAAATATAAAACACATGTCATTAATTATAAAACAACACAATATTCACAAGTGAATCACACCTAGCACACACTTCATCGGTAGATGAAAAACACAAACGTGAGGGATTTAACTCTCACCCAATAATATTTCTAGAAACAACTAAATTATGTATTCATCAAAGAAAACTCATATTGAAAAGTACAAAAGCAAAAATCACAAGGGCTTTAAAGTGTTATAATGTGGTTTGGAAAACAGAGAAGTGTCAATATTTAAAGGTAATTGAAACTAAAACAATGCCTAATTCTATGGGAGTGGTCAATTCACATAGTCTCAAGCACAACTCAATCAATTTTTTTAACTTTCCCAATTATTACACCAACACATATCACTTATTTGTACATTTTTTCTCTTTCTTTTTCAAAACTTTTTCTCTTTTTTCTTTCTTTTTATTTTTCTATTTTTTTTTCTTTTCTTTAATTTCTCACTATTTTTTTTCTTTTTCTAATTTCAAAATTTTCTTTCATAACCTTAAGCAACATACTTATAAACAAATAAACATCTATTCTCGCCAACTTGAATATAACTACACAAAGTTAAATGAATGCTC